ACGAATTTGTAATTATTACCTTAACTGAAAGCTATTTTGACTGCGATTTTACTGAACTTGTTCTTATCTGTTGCCCTTCTTAGAACAGAAAGGACAGTATTTTGTGCACTTTGCATTTCTTTCCAAAGACATGCACATATTGATAGGTAACATCCTAATGGAATTGGTACGACTGCTATTCCAGTTAGTAATGTCCAAAGATTCAATTTTCTTTTTTATCTAACAAAAATCTTCTTAAAAATGCCCACACTAAAAGATTCAGACGTTTCTAGTCTTGATTTCTTTCTGAAGTTTTTCTTGAATAATTGCATAAAGTTTTTAAAGGCTCAAGCGTTTGTTGCACGTAGATCTACAATTTTGTTCGATACAACAGTTTACTATAATTTCTTCTTTTTCTTTTTCGTTCCTTTTCCTTTCTTCCTAGTTTCTTTTTCTTTATACTTCTTCAAAGATTTCCGCAAATGAGATTTTTCTATAGTTTGATTGTTTGGTTGGGATTCTCTTTCATAATCTGCACTAAACCTCCATTTGCATTCTGTTTTCTTTGAGTGTGGAAAGCATCAGATTTTAAAGCTACAAATGAGCACTCAAACCAATTTGTTGCCCAAATACTTCGACGCGAGACATATAGCAGTTATCAAAATAACTGTGTGTAAGAAAGGCATACAAGCACCGCTTCTCTCAAAGGTCTGACATAATGCTCAATTTCTTCTATCATCTACGCTTCTTTATCTCCTAAACTAAACGAAACACTCGCAATGTGGACGTGCCAATTTAAAAAGCGTTCTTCTGCGGTCAGCTGCTTCAATATAACACTTTCACCTCATTTGTGTGTCCGAAACGACTCCCATAGAGGGTGCTGTAATGAAACGGCTGGCACTTGCTGGAAGAGCAGAGCAACTGGATCGACGATTCCTTATTACGAACGCATAGCAGTGTGAAAGGATGGAAATGTTACACAAAAGCGCAACTTCACGAAATCCACTCTATGGAGGTGGCTCGAATGAGGAGTTTGATGGAAGGGGAGAGTTTAGGGTATAGCAGAACTCTGCAGTCCAGGATTCTGTATCTTAGATAACACTTATCTTTCTTGTTGAAAATAGCACCTCAACAACGGCACATTCAAAATCACAGCCATTATTGAATTTACAGAGTACAAGAAGGAATTTTTAGTCGTTAGCCGCATTTAAAGGTCCGCAATGTCCTTAAGATGTGGGATTTGCAGATGCATTGCAAATATTACGATACTGTCAGTTTTCTTTCTATGTTAGTTTGAATTCTTTGAGATGTAGCAAAAATCAATATGACTGAGTTTTAAAGAAATAGCTACAAATTCACATGCCATATCAAGAAACGTGTTAAAATTAATAGTTTTGTTTAACGCTTGATGTTTGGTTTAGATATATCCAGAATATTCCACCTTCCTCCTCACACTGCATATTTCATCTTCCTCACGAGTACTGCTAACGTTTAGATTATCCCTTTAAGTAGATTCATCAAGAGCATGTAAGTGTACTAGTATGATCCACCTTTTATTCCAAATGAGCAATACCCTCAGTATTTCTCTACAACTTATCTACTCAGTTGATAAATTGACAAATCGAAATGCGTCATCGTACAATCATACAGTTAAGACGACACTTAACCATTTCACTAGCTTGTGTTCAAAATGTATCTAATATATATGGATGCTCTCGTATTATGATGCAACACGATTAAGGCGTATTGAATAAATGATAGTATGATACTTAAAAATCATTATTTTGTCTATAGATGCGTTTAATTTGAAGGATGATCTTTGGATGTATGGACGATGAGTCGTTCCTTTTCTGTAATCACAACATATCCCGAATATGGCTGTAAGCCCCGTTTACTTCTTTTGAGTGGTGATAAAAAGATAAGAGTCTCTTAACAAACTTCATTATTCTGTTTTGGTAGAGAACTGCTTCTTCTATGA